GGACTTGGTTCACAGGTCTCCTCAGCGCAGAGACTGTGATCAGGAAAGAGTTAATGGAGGCCAGGATCTGCCTCAGGAAGGCGAGGGTTAATTTGGGGGGCGGGGGTTGGAGACTCTCTGCTTTTCCTGTGGAGAGTGAGGTTTGGCTGCCACCAAAGTTACTTCTAGTCCCTGCTGTCCACTCCTGCCCTCAGTCTGGACCTGCCCAAGGACCCCTGCAATTAGGCCTCCCATGCAGAGGTGAGTGTACCCTGAGCCCAGGGCTCTGGTAGGAAGGAACCCAGGGGCCTGAGGGCAGGGAGACTGGTACCAAACTAGTGAGCCTGAAAGATGGCCCATTCCCAGAGCAGAAGCCTTGGGCAGAGTTGGGAGCACAAGCTTCAGGACAGGGGGAAGGCAGGCAAAGGAATGGAGGGCCCGAGACTGCCTGCCAGGCTTCTAGGGCGGGATGTCTGAGGTCCAGCCTCCAGGCTAGCCCAGAAGGCAGGGAAGAGGCTGTGGATGACAGACTGTTTTGGTCCTTGTGATTAGGGACTTTTTATAGTCTCCCTGCTCAGGGATGGGGAGAAGAGGAGAGGACAGAGGGCACCCATGGGGTCAGACAAGCAGTGCCTTCCTGGGACTTTGGAATCCGACCCACTGCCCAGGAGACTCCCTGGGAGACAGGGAGGGAGACACTGCCAGACTCCCCTTGGTTCCCAGGCCTCAACTACCCATGGGTAGACCGACTACACACTAGGTGCTGGGTGAAGGGGTGGGCTGGACCTGGCAGGGTCCCTGTCCCAAGGCCTCTCACAGACCCCTTCCCCACTTCCCTAGTTAATTCTGTTCCTTTGTTGTCCCCATATCCAAGGTCCCTCAGCCTTCAGGACTCAGGGGAAGTAGGGGGAGATGGGGTGGGGTCGGGTGTGCAGGGCCATGTGGGTGGCCCATTCTGTTACTGCCAAGAGAACTGTCAGCTCTTGATTTACAACCCCTCCTCGCCCCTTGCCCCAGCAGAAAGGAGGTGGAAAAGGGTCATGAGGTCTTAGGATAAAAAGGGGACAAGGACCCTGAGGGCAAATTTCTGGGAGTGGGAGTGCAGGTTATTAGGAAGAATTAGTGGAAGGAACTTTTTGGTGAGGCAAGGGGCCCATTTCTAACGGAAATTGCTTGGTTTTATAGCAGCAGGAATACATGCAAAATATCAGTGAGGTTTTTTTTTCTTTTTCTTTTCTTTTTTTTTTTTTTTTTGAGATAGAGTCTCGCTCTGTCGCCCAGGCTGGAGTGCAGTGGCGTGCGATCTTGGCTCGCTGCAACCTCCACCTCCCAGGTTCAAGTGATTTTCCTGCCTCAGCTTCCCAAGTAGCTGGGATTACAGGTGCGCGCCGCCACGCCTGGCTAATTTTTGTATTTTCAGTAGAGACGGGGTTTCACCATGCTGGCTAGGCTGGTCTGGAACTCCTCACCTAAGGTGATCCACCCAACTCGGCCTCCCAAAGTGCTGGGATTACAGGCGTGAGCCATCGTGCCCCGCCTCAGTAGGAAGTAATAGGCAAATGAGAGATCCAATCTGAACTGCAAGGCAAGAAACCTGGGTTCCAGTCCTGACTCCTAACTCTCAATAGGACCTGAGCAATCCCCCCTCCTCTCCAGGCCAATTTCCTCCTCATGAAATGGAAATGCAAAGGTTAAACAAGGTGATGTTTACAGTTTGGCATTCTGCAATCGCCTTGGCAGGGGCAGAGTAGCTGGCAGTAGCTGATAGGGCCTGGGGACCACCTCCCTCTCCTGCCCTGATGGCCTTGCTGGGCCTGGGCAGGGCAGTTGGCTGCAATTACTGGAGATTCCTACCCTGTGGTTATATCCCTGACCTCGGTGTTTGGGGGCGGGAAGGGTGGGCCCTGCTGGAGCCAGCCTGTGGCTGGGAGCCTCCTTGTCTTGGGCTCAAAGCTGCTGGGTTGGGAAGAGGTATTTTTTCCGGTTGAAGCCACTTTCGGGAATTGGGCCGGGTTTCCTTTTCCAAGTGTCCTGCTTGCTGAGGCCTGCTCGCATGGCCCTGTGGCCAGATTGGGGCACCTTCAAAGGGGCATATGTTTCTGAGTGGCCAGAGAGACCCCGCTCAGTGTCTCTGAAGGACAGGGAAAGGGGATGGCCTGAGCCTCTGCTCCCTGAACGTGGCACTGGCTAACCTGGATGGGAGAGGGTGGCTGACTGATCCTATACTGAGGAATGCCGGCAGGGGAGGACCAGGGCATTTCCTACCCTTCCCCTGACCTTCCTCTCTCCCTGCAGGTCTGTGAGAGCCCAAGTCAATTGCTCTTGGCCCCCTGGCTGGCTACTTATGGGGCACTGTCCTGAACAGCTTTGCTAAGATGCTCCTGGCCCCTCCCTCCACCCCGTCCAGAGGACGGACCCCCAGCGCTGTGGAGAGGTTGGAAGCCGACAAAGCCAAGTATGTCAAGACGCACCAGGTGATAGCTAGGCGACAGGAGCCAGCCCTGCGTGGGAGTCCTGGGCCGCTCACACCGCACCCCTGCAACGAGCTGGGGCCCCCTGCATCGCCCAGGACGCCTAGGCCGGCCCGCCGGGGAAGTGGCAGGCGGCTGCCAAGGCCTGACTCGCTCATCTTCTACCGCCAGAAGCGGGACTGCAAGGCTTCGGTGAACAAAGAGAACGCCAAGGGCCAGGGGCTGGTGCGGCGCCTCTTTCTGGGTGCCCCGCGGGACGCTGCCCCGAGCAGCCCGGCCTCCACAGAGCGACCTGCGTCTTCAGGAGGTTGGGCCGCGCCCCAAGATGCCCCGGAAGCGGCGGGAAAGCGGGCGCTGTGTCCCACGTGCTCGCTGCCCCTGTCGGAGAAGGAGCGCTTCTTCAACTACTGCGGCCTGGAGCGCGCGCTGGTGGAGGTGCTGGGTGCAGAGCGCTTCTCCCCGCAGAGCTGGGGGGCCGACGCCAGCCCGCAGGCCGGAACTTCGCCGCCGCCCGGCTCCGGGGACGCCAGCGACTGGACATCCAGCGACAGGGGCGTGGACAGCCCGGACGGCGCGGGTGGCGGCGGCGGCGGCTCGGAGGCAGCCGGTTCGGCGCGGGACGGGCGCCCTCCGGTGTCGGTGGTGGAGCGCAATGCGCGCGTCATCCAGTGGCTGTACGGCTGCCAGCGCGCCCGCGGACCGCCGCGCGAGTCCGAGGTGTGACCGCCGCGGCTCCGGAGCCGGCTTCCCAGGGAGTGCCAAGCGCGGGGCTGGCCCCGGGTACGGACAGGAATACCCTGCTTCTGGCGCGCTGGGTGCCTTTGCGTAAGCCCTTCCCTCTGGAACTCAGTTTTGCGTCTGAACCTTGGGGAAGTGGGACAAGTTGTTGCCGAAGGCCCTTCCCTGCGCCCGCGGCGAAGGGGGAGGGAGAGGCCTCGTGGTCCTTGTGGAGGCCAGGTCTGGGGAGTCACGATTGGGGTGGGAGATGAGCAAACCTGCTGAATAAAGTTAAAACGTTATTTAAATGGGGAGCTGAGGAAGGAGGCAAACGGGTTTTCGTGGTTAAGCGCGTGGGTTTTGAAGTGTGTGCTCCGGGCTGACTGTGTGACCCTGGGCAAGCACTTGACCTCCCTGGATGCAGCGGCACCCCTCGGTTATTAAGGAGGGAGGAGTAGGGGATACAAGTATTTCCAAATAGTTGTAATGCGCATGGCAAGGTATCCAGCATATAGAAAGTGCTCAATAAACGGTAACTGCTGTGACTTCTACCGAATGAGTACTAACACGGTTGTGATCTCCACTGGCCTCCAGGTCGATCCAAACTAGAGCTGGGAATAACGTGCTTTGGGAGTCCGAGGGGGCGTCTGCTCCAGAAATCTGGGCTCCACCAGTTCCTAAAAGGCCCCCATTCCCGGAGTTTTGCTGCCCCGGTTGTGGTCACTGGGTATGAAGGGCTGAGATGTGGAGGATCCAACCTTTCGGACACGAAAAGAAGGGAACCGGGCGGGGTGCGGTGGCTCACGCCTGTAATCCCAGAACTTTGGGAGGCTGAGGAGGGCGGATCACGAGGTCAGGAGTTGGAGACCAGCCCGGCCAACATGGTGAAACCCCCGTCTCTACTAAAAATACAAAAATTAGCTGAGCGTGGAGTGTGCGCCTGTAATCCCAGCTACTCCGGAGGCTGAGGCAGGAGGAGAATCGCTTGAACCCGGAGGCAGAGGTTGCAGTGAGCCGAGATGGAGCCATTGCACTCCAGCCTGGGCGACAGGGGGAGACTGCGTCTCAAAAAATAAAAATAAGTAAAAATAAAAAAAGAAAAGAAGGGAACCTTTTCTGCCAGCTCGCAGGCTCCTGCCACTGCCTCCCTTTCCTGCAAGGACACACAAGATCCCCTATTTTCATCACAGGTTCCCACCTCCCAGCTTTCTTCCTTCATGCGCCTCCTTCCTCAGACTGGGTTGCCATTCCTTTTCTCTCTACTCTTCCTTCTGGGAGATAACATATACTCTCCTCCAGGAAGCCTTCCTGAATGCCCCAGTCAGCCTCACCTGCTCTGAGCTCCCAAGTGCAGCCCTGTTTTTGGGCCTCAATTTGTCACCTTTTGTGGGACCCGCTGGTAGTCTGGGTTCTCTAGTTAATCTTTGACCTTTTCCTAGTACTGGGACGGCGTACATAGTAGAGCCACAGGCAGTTTGTTGAATTAAATGAGGCTGGAGAGGGCGATGGACGCAGTCCTCTGGAGCTCCCCAACTTCCTGGAAAGTTGTACCTTAAATAAAAAACCCATCCTGGCCGGGCGCGGTGGCTCAAGCCTGTAATCCCAGCACTTTGGGAGGCCGAGACGGGCGGATCACGAGGTCAGGAGATCGAGACCATCCTGGCTAACACAGTGAAACCCCGTCTCTACTAAAAAATACAAAAAAATAGCCGGGCGAGGTGGCGGGCGCCTGGAGTCCCAGCTACTCGGGAGGCTGAGGCAGGAGAATGGCGAAAACCCGGGAGGCGGAGCTTGCAGTGAGCTGAGATCCGGCCACTGCACTCCAGCCTGGACGGCAGAGCAAGACTCCGTCTCAAAAAAAAAAAAAAAAAAAAAAGTGAAAAAAAACCCATCCTGATATACGGGCTGACTCTGGTCATTTTCGCCTTGTATGTTTGGTGAGCTCCAGCTGGACCCCGCCTGAGGTCGCCCCCCGCAAAAGCAGTCTTTCTGGATGTCTGGACAAAAGCACGCGGTCACACAGACTGTCCGGCCAGGGTTTTTATCAGGGGTGGGAGCAGCGGGCGCCGGGTTCGGCCAGCCCGCTAGTCGCCCTTGGGCGCGGCCTTCACCCTCATCTCGGCCAGTTTGTGAGTGAGGAAGCCCCACTTGAAGCCGGCCACCGGCTCGGCCTCCTGCGACTCGGGGCGCTCGGCGGCCTCGTCCGCGGGTTCGGGGTCCGGCTCCAGAGTGGGCTCGGTGCCACGCAGCATGGACGACGCTGCCGCCTGCTGCTGCTGCCACCTGCTGGCGAACGCGTCCCAGAAGCCCGGACCGCGCGCCTCCGCCGCCGCCGCCTGCGAGGGGGGTCGCGCCGCCAGAGGGCTGCGGGAGAGGGCCGCGGTCAGGGAAGCGGTCGAGCGGTCCCGGGGAGGAACATCGGAGAGGAGGCTGGGCCGAGGGACAAGTTTAGTGGGGCCGGGGGAACCCGGGCGGAGTCAGGGGCAGTGGTGAGGAGCGGGGTCAGGTGACCAGTGGGGGACCGGGACAAGGAGGCGGGTCAGGGCCTGGAGGCAAGGGGAGGGCTCAGAGGCCCTGGGAAAGGGGGCTGGGGTGGGACAGGGTCAGGGGATTAGGCGAGGGGTGTGGAGGGAGGCAACGGGGATCAGGATCCCTGGGGAGAGAATGAGGTCAGGGGTTTAGGCGTGGCTGAGGAGGGACGCTGGAGGCGTGCGCAGGTCTGGGAAGCTGGAAGGATCCCTGGGAGAGCAGGTGGGAGTGGGAGGGGCTGTTCAGATCCCACCTGAGGGAAGCCCTGGGGAAAAGAGACGGAGCCCGGAGAGGGATCAGGTCCTGAGATTGAGGGAAAGGGGGACTAGGGGCACGGGAGAAAGGTGGAGCAACAGGAAGGCCTAGGTCAGAGCCTTAGGGGAGAGCAGGGGACTCAAGAGAGGTGGGAAGATGTTGGGGGGAAGGGCAGTCACAGAGAGGTGATGAAGCTTGAAGTGGAAGCCTGGAGTCCAGGAAGTTTCTTAAGGAACCGGAGGTAAGGGTGAGGGGAAAGAATGGAAACCTGGGGGCAGGAGAGGCTGCTGGGTCATGGGGACCCTAGGAGAAAAGAATAGGGTCAGTGGTGAGAGGGGGATGTGACCAGGATGGAGAAAAGGCAGAAATGGAAAATGTGCCAGAGATGGAGCCAGGAGGGAGACTGAGGTCCCAGGTCCCACCCGCTAATCTTCGGCATCAAAGACCTTCTAAGACAGTGATTCCCAAAGCAGCATGCTGCGGGGCCCTGGTGGGGCTTGCTGAAAACATGGCTAGATCTCCAAGACTCTGCCACACCGGCGAAATCGGAGTCTCTAAAGGAGGGTCCAGGAATATGTTTGTGACACGCTTCCTTGGAGGGTGAGGGTTTAGACAATACTTGGGAACCTTGGAGCTGGATCACCTGTTGCAAACACCTAAAGGTATTCTCCATTCTTGGATTTTAGAGAGATGGCCCCTCCCAAGCGGATGGGTCCAGAGAGCCCATAAAATACCTTCTAGCACCTCAATCCCAACAGCTGGTCAATTCCTCCAGAGATTTACCCTAATCTCCCAGATACGCTGATTTGGCCTGTTTCCTGCTGAGAGAAACAAACAGCCTGGGACTGCCCCTCCCCAGCCCTCAGTGGTTAGAAAGACAAACAAACCAGAAGGAAAGGACCAGGCAGAAGGGGGACCTCAGGCCCCTTCCAGAACCACCACAAACACACACACACATACTGGTCAGCGCAAGGCTCTGATGGTAGCAGCTTATCTTCATCTTCTTTGTTAAACAGAGATGACATTGTCAGCCAGCCTTTCACCCCGACCCCCTGAACCTGGGAAAGGGGTTGGGAGTCAGGGAAGGGGCCCAGCATAACCTCCCAGGACTCCACAGAAGCCTCTGCCAGGCTGCCCAGGGTTGGGGTGGAAGAAGGGAGAAGACTCACCCGGCGGGCCAGTTGTGACATGGGATTGAAGGTCTCCTCGGTTGGTTCTGCTGTCTCAGACTCCACTAATGCTGGGTTCTCCCTCTGGGACACAAGACCCCCACACTGCATGAGAGAGGCCGCAGAGGTGTGGGATCTCCCTCCTCCACTGCTAGCCTAGTACACACAGACCAGGCACCCCAAATACCACAGAACTAAACACACATACACTCCACAGATCCACAAGGGCACATGGGAATGCATACAGATATACCTACAGAGTAAATCCCTGCAGACAACCTTTTTCCTCATGTGTGTGTGTGTGTGTGTGTGTGTCAAAGTCTTGCTCTGTTGCCCAGGCCAGAGTGCCGTGGGGTGCAGTGGCACGATCTCAGCTCACTGCAACCTCTGCCTTCCGGGTTCAAGTGATTCTCCTGCCTCAGCCTCCTGAGTATCTGGGATGACAGGCACCTGCCACCACCCTGCTACTTTTTGTATTTTTAATAGAGATGGGGTTTTGCCATGTTGGCCAGGCTGGTCTCGAACTCCTGGCCTCAAATGATCTGCCCATCTCGGCCTCCCAAAGTGCTGGGATTACAGGTGTGAGCCACTGGCCCGAGCTGCAGACACCCTTGAGCACACATACCTGCCCACCACAGACACATCCATATATACTCAAAAGCATGTGGACATGGGCATGCACTCTGACATAGACACACACCTGTACATGAGCATGCCCCACATGGCTACAGCTCTTCATCTGCACATAGACGTATGTGTTATGAGGTACCTATACAAGGACACACACAGTTATACCGTTCACACCTGTGCACTTACACAACCACAGATAGCTGCACGGAGGCCCATCCACAACACACAAAACCTCTTCACCCAAAAACAGATACCAAAACACGTACACCATACAAACATAACACCTACAAATGTCTACACAGAGGCATGCAGACATAGACTGCTGCCCAAAATGTTCACACCTACACATACACCTTCACTGGGGATTCCACACAGACACTGATCACACCAGTTACCCACTGACATTTCTGCACAAGCCCAGCCTTAGACACCAACCTCTCCAGACATGCAAGCATTCAGACCATTCTCCGCCCCTCCCAACCAATTCCTGCCTCTGCCACACGTCTTGTGATTGTGTGACTGCCGCTTATCACAGCCTCCAGACATAAGACTGTCCCTGGTTTCAGAAACTTTGCTGTTGTCATTGTTGTTTTGAGACAAAGTCTCACCTGTCGCACAGGCTGTAGTGCAGTGGAGCCTTGACCTCCCTGGGCTCAAGCGATCCACCCACCTCAGCCTCCTGAGTAGCTGGGACTACAGGTGTGGTGCCACCGTGCCTGTCTAATTTTTGTATTTTTTTGTTGAGATAGGGTTTCACTATGTCACCCAGGCTGGTCTCAAAATCCTGGGCTCAAGTGATCCTCCTGCTTCAGCCCCCTGAGTAGACGGGATTACAGGTGCCCGCCACCATGCCTGGCTAATTTTTGTGTTTTTAGTAGAGGCAGGGTTTCGCCATGTTAGCCAGGCTGCTCTCCGACTCCTGACCTCAGGTGATCCACCCTCTGTGACCTCCCAAAGTGCTAGTATTACAGGCAGGAGCCACTGCACCCTGCCTGTTTTTTGTTTTTTTTTTTTTTTTTTTTTGAGACAGAGTCTTGCCCTGTCACCCAGGCTGCAGTGCAATGGTACAATCTCCGCTCATTGCAACCTCTGCCTCCCAGGCTCAAGCAATTCTCCTGCCTCAGCCTCCCAAGTAGCTGGGATTACAGGCACACGCTGCCATGTCTGGCTACTTTTTTTTTGTATTTTAGTAGAGACTGGGTTTCACTGTGTTGCCCAGGCTGGTCTTGAACTCCTGAACTCAGGCAGTTCACCCACCTCGGCCTCCCAAAGTGCTAGGATTACAGGCATGAGCCACCATGCCTAGCCCAGCCTGTTTTTTTTTTGTTGTTGTTTTTTTTTTGTTGTTGTTGTTTTTAATGGCAGAACAACACATGGTCTAAGTATGGCTTTGATCTGATGCTGCTACAGTGACCTTTCTAGTACAGGCGCCACTCCCCCTACCTCTAGTAACAGGGGACTCACTACATCACTCCTAATTCTGCTCCCATTAGAAAGTTGTGTCCAGCTAAGTGTGCCCATGTGCCTACTGCCCACTGGTCCTAGAAGAATCTCTTCCATGTGGCAGCCTCGAGATCTTTGGAGACAGTGGCCACTCCTCCCATAGTCCCTAAGTCTTTTCTTCTTCCTCAGTTTTCCTGAATGTCCTGGCTTTCTGATGCTGCGCCATGCTCTTTACCATTCCTGAATGTGCTGTCTGCACAAACGTGGCCCCCCCACCTCCAAGCCTATCCTGTGCCCCACTTCATACTGCTCATTCCTGCTGCCCCTCTGCATATGCTCCACCCAGCATGCATGGATGGTACCCACCTCCTCTGCCAGGTCTTCCTCAGATTCCCCACTCAGTGTCTGTAGCACTTTGGATTTGTAGGTTTTCCAGAAGGCCTGGTTCATGGCTGCAGGGGGAAGGGGTCTGGCACCCAAGCACAGGAAGGTGGTGGCTCAGTGGATACCAGTGAGTCTGGCCCTAGGAACTTGGTGAGGCCAAGAGCCTGTCTGAGGGATCCAGTGACTTCATTAAAGATGCACCAGCCTCCCCAGCTGGCACAGTGCCCAGGAGGTGAACCTGATCCAAAGGAGTCAGGGGGGTGGGGGATGGAACAGGCTTCCGCCACCTTAGCCCCTTGTCTTGACCCATATTGGCCAAGAATAACGAAGACATCTGTCTCTAGAGAGGCTTTCCTTTTTTTTTTTTTTTTTTTTTTTTTGAGACAGAGTCTCGCTCTGTCGCCCAGGCTGGAGTGCAGTGGCCAGATCTCAGCTCACTGCAAGCTCTGCCTCCCGGGTTTACGCCATTCTCCTGCCTCAGCCTCCCGAGTAGCTGGGACTACAGGCACCCGCCACCTCACCCGGCTAGTTTTTTGTATTTTTTAGTGGAGACGGGGTTTCACCATGTTAGCCAGGATGGTCTCGATCTCCTGACCTCGTGATCCGCCCGTCTTGGCCTCCCAAAGTGCTGGGATTACAGGCTTGAGCCACTGCGCCCGGCCCTAGAGAGGCTTTCTTCTTGGGCCTAGGAGTACTTGAGGTTGTTCATCTCTTAGCATGGCTCCAGGAAAATCTTCTTCCATTCACAAAATCCTGAGGTCTGGGACCCACACTGGAGCCCCTGTGACTGTAGTCATACCAGTTGTGTCCTCAGCAGGGCTCCACCCCTTGTCCCTACTCAGCCTCAATGAGCTGGAGCAGGAAGGTCCCCAGGCCCCCAGTGGGCACCTTGGGCTTACATTTCACTCCTTTGTCTGGGCTGGAAACTGATTCCTCTCCCCAGGGATACACGTGCCTGTCTCCTTGTTTCCTGGCAACAGATTCCAAAGAGCTGGAGCCCCTGAATTATTGCTAAGCTCCTCTGGCCCCTTCCAGCTGAGTTGGCTCTGGCCAGCCTGGGAAGCACCAGGATCCTGTGAATGGGGAAAGGCCCTCTAAGCTTCTGCCCACTCTGAGCATGCAATACCTAGGCCTTTGCTGCCAGCCCACCTCTGGGAGCCCAGGGCTTAGAGAAAGGAGGCAAAGATGGAGAGGTCCTTCTATAAGTACTTGTGAGAGGAACTGAGCCCTCTGGAGTCTGGATGCCTGAGGACTGCAATCTCTGGGGAGGAACACCCTTCATGGATTTGGCTGGGGGCAGAGAGAGGATGGAGATTCAAGGGAATAATGGGAGCCGGGAGAAGTGACGGCTTTTTCAGGGACTGGAGATATCTCGGGAAGCCCTGTGGGGCTGGGATTCCAAACTTATTCATTCTCAGTCATTTACTAATTTATTCATGACACAGACATTTATCAGTGCTTTCCAGAGATGCAGCATCCCACCCCCACCGCGGAGTCCAAGGTCTGGGAAACAGGAAGGGACGACAGGGGCAGAGGTTGGCACTGATACTGGTTGGGCCAGGCCAGGGAGAGCAGGGCAGCAAGACAGCCCCGAAACCCCTAGGCTCACGCACCACCCCGCGCTTCCCCAGCTAGGGCCCGCGTGGCCATGCCCTTCAGTGGTCAAAATTTTGGGGACCCGTCCCGAGCTCGGTCACTGACGTCGACGGCCGCCTGGCGGCGCTCGAGCCGCTGGCCGAGAGTGACGTCATCAGAGGCGGTCCGGCAGAGCCTGCCTCGCCCCGCTGCGCGGCCTGACGTCGCTGATCGGCCCGGAAGCGCTCACACGTGTGCTCGCTCCCCTGCTACTGGCCCCTTGGCCGGCCGGGCTGTTTCTGGTCATGGGTCGCTCCCGTCGGACAGGCGCGCACCGAGCGCACTCTCTAGCCCGGCAGATGAAGGCGAAGCGGCGGCGGCCGGACCTGGATGAGATTCACCGCGAGCTGCGGCCTCTGGGACCCGCACGGCCCCAGCCCGACCCAGACGCCGAGCCCGACCCCGACCTGCCAGGGGGCGGCCTGTACCGCTGTCTGGCCTGCGCGTGAGTCCCGGACGAGCCCGGCCTGGGCGGAGGAGGGTCCGCGGTACCGGCCGGGAGATGTGAAGTTCAAGCCCCAGGCCGTGCGGAGCCTTCTCTCTTGGGACCCGTGGGTCCGCCCGCCTCCCGTTTCTCAGACCCGGATCCTGGCGTCAGGGACAAGCTAGGGCTAGGGAGATAGGTGTACTTGGGAGACTATCACCTCCTCACTCTCCTTCTCACTTCCATCCCTACAGGAGGTACTTCATCGATTCCGCCAATCTGAAGACCCACTTCCGATCCAAAGACCACAAGAAAAGGTATGAAGGAGTAAGGAGAGGATTGATGGATGGGTGCTCAGCAGATAGGGCTTTCACCTGTCAGCTCCCAACTCCTGTTTTTCTTTCTCCCAGGCTGAAGCAGCTGAGCGTCGAGCCCTACAGTCAGGAAGAGGCAGAGAGGGCAGCGGGTATGGGATCCTATGTGCCCCCCAGGCGGCTAGCAGTGCCCACAAAAGTGTCCACTGAGGTCCCTGAGATGGACACCTCTACCTGACATGGCCTGAAGATGCAGGGCAGAGGAGTTGCCCATGGACAGTGACGCAAGGACTAGGCTGGGAGGGAACGTGCCAACCCCTTTTGGCTCTGGGTTTGGGGAACGGAGGGCCTCTTCTGGGTGCCCTGCCCCCAATAAAGGAACTGGACAAAGAGAGCTTGCCTCCAACTCTAACTTCCAGGTCGCTGTCTCAAACTCCTGCCCTGGAAGGGCTTCTCTAGTACTTTCTGTGCACCAGGCCTAGGGTGTCAATCTTGGTCTATCTTTGGAGCCCACATCCATGCCTTCCCTCTGAGGTCCTAGCATCTGAACTGGAGCACCCAGATGGAGGCCTGATGCAGTGTGGGGTGGCGGGAGTGGGATCAGATTACTCTGTCCTGCTTCCGACAGAGACTGATCCCCAGAAAACAAGACTTCTGAGATTGCAGCCCCCTCCCGAGTCACCTACCCCCAGCGTCCAGGTGAGAGTCTCTCTTCTTCATTATGGGGCCCGTGGCACCCGCCGCTGCCCCACCATCTTCCAAACGGCATAGCAGGAGCCACCCAGCCCGAGGACAGCTAGCACTGTAGCCACAACTCCCACCAGCAGACTGCGGGGCTCTGCCTTCAGCTCACCAGCTAGCTGCATCTGGAGGTGCACAGAGGGTGTGCCTCAGGGGTCAGTTGAGACTGCCAGGAAGGTGGGGAGTGGGAATGGGCTGAGTAGGTGTAGCTAAGGGAAGGAGACATGGACGCCGGTACTGCCCCAGGGAGATTCCACCCCAATCCCTTTCGCCTCACTGCCCATCTGGGCCTGCCTGCTCAGGCGGCAGGGAACGTGACAGCCTGGCTGTTGGGGGTGTCAGCCCAGCTATGGTAGGGGGAGGAAGGGATCAGTCGTGCCAGAAACCATTGATCAGGGGTACTTACCTGTAGCACCCGGAAGTAACCAGGGGTCAGGCGTCGAAATCGCATGGTGGGCGGCACTGGTCTCCCTGGCGGCCTGTAGGGTGGGAGCAGACATGAAGACCAGTGGTCTTTATGATACCAAGACGTGGAAAGTAGGGTAGAGGGGTCTCTGACCTTCTACATACGGAAGACCCAAGCCCTCAGAGGATGCTCACCCGTGCCTGTCTGCCAAGGTCTGGCAGGGGGGCGGAGCAACTGGACCTTTAAATCTGGCCCCTTCCCCCACTGCCTACCATCCTGCCAGCCTTAGGAACAGCTGTCAAAAGAGATCAGCATCAGGCTTGAGCGGCACCTCCCCCACTGTCCAAGGAGGCGGGTCTGGGTAGGCAGAAGAGGCCTTGGCTGGCAGGGCTCAGGAGTCCCAGGCCTGGACCAGGTACTGGGCGGGCCTCCCTCAGCCCCTGGTCCAAGCCCCATCCCTACTTCAGATGATTGGATGCCAGCATTATGGAAGGAAGGGGAGGGTGCCTTTTCGATTTGATTTCCGTGAAATCAACCACCCCTACCTTGAGGGATGGCACATTTAACCTATTTCTTTCTTTTTTTTTCAAAGACAGAGTCTCACTCTGTCACCCAGGCCTGAGTGCAGTGGCATGATCTCAGCTCACTGCAACCTCTGCCACCCAGATTCAAGCGATTCTCCTGCCTCAGCCTCCCAAGTAGCTGAGATTACAGACACCTGCCACTGCGCCCGGCTAATTTTTGTATTTGTAGTAGAGACGGGGTTTCACCATATTGGTCAGGCTGGTCTTGAACTCCTGATCTCATGATCCACCCGCCTCGGCCTTCCAAAGTGCTGGGGTTAGAGGCATGAGACACTGCACCCAGCCAATTTAACCCGTTTCTTCAAGACAAAGTTTCTGCAGGGACTTCCCTGCCCTCAGCTTGAAACAGTGATAAAAGCATATCTGCATATACCAATGAAGAAAGCTGCCCATGACACGTTAAAAATAGTAGTCATTATTCTAAGCACTTAACTTGTATTTCATCTGGTGTCCATTATCTCTTAAATGATAAAGTATGATTGGGCAGCACTTCGGGAGGCTGAGGCAGGCAGATTGCTTGAGTCCAGGAGTTCGAGACCAGCCTGGGCAAAGGTGAAACCTCATCTCTACCAAAAAAAAAAAATAATAATAATTTAGCCAGGCATGGTGGTGCATGCCTGTAGTCCCAGCTACTCAGGAGGCTGAGGTAGGAGGATCACTTGAGCCCAGGAGGTAGAGGCTGCAATGAGCCGAGGTCGCACCATTGCACTCCAACCTGGGTGACAGCTAGACCCTGTCTCCAATAAAAAAAAAGAAAAGAAAAAGTACAGTTTGCAGAATAGTATGTAGACTATCTGCAGATACAGAAAATAGAAGAATATCCCAAATTTAGCAGTGGCCCCCACTGGGGAACATGATAGAGACACACTGGGGAAAGGGCACATCCTGCTTTCACTTAACCTATTACCTTTGAAATGTATACAGCAAATATATAGAACTTTATATTCATAAAGCTTTTTAAAATAGGCCGGGCATGGTGGCTCACGCCTGTAATCCCAGGGAGCCAAGCATGGGAGGCCGAGGTAGGTGGATTACTTGAGGTCAGGAGTTTGAGACCAGCCTGGCCAACATGGCAAAACCCTATCTCTACTAAAAATACAAAAATTAGCTGGGTGTGGTGGCGCACACCTGTAATCCCAGCTACTCGGGAGATTGAGGTACGAGAATCACTTGAACCTGGGAGGGAGAGGTTGCAGTGAGCCAAGACTGCGCCACTGTACTCCAGCCTGGGCAGCAGAGCAAGACTCTCTCAAAAAACAAAACAAAACCCTTTAAAATAGAAGCTGCCGTCCGGGCATGGTGGTTTATGCCTGTAATCCCAGCACTTTGAGAGGCCAAGGCAAGTGGATCACTTGAGGTCAGGAGTTTGAGACCAGCCTGGCCAAGATGGTGAAACCCCATCTCTACTAAAAATACAAAATTAGTCGGGTGTGGGGGCACATGCCTGTCATCCCAGCTACTTGGGAGGCTGAGGCAGGAGAATAGCTTGAACCTGGGAGGTGGAGGTTGCGCTGAGCCAAGATCACGCCATTGCACTCCAGCCAGGGCAACAAGAGCAAAACTCCATCTCAAAAGAATAAATAAAAATAAATAGAAGTTGCCATTTACTGTGTCCCTAACTGCCTAACCCTGGCAGATGCTGGGAGCATAGAGTAAAGGTGCCGTGGTTCAGGGAGGAAAGGGGCTGGTTCTCACCTCTGGTGGCAGCTCAGGAAAGATATTTGATGAAATCAAGATCTGTCTACCGAGCACTGTGATAAAGGCTCTATTAGAATTTACTGGACTTCGCTAGAGTGCCATAGGGAGGCTGCTGCATGAAGAGGCAAAAATGTTAAAGGAGGATGCAGCACGGAGTGTTCAAGGGACGCAGACCCGAGGCAAAACACAAAGCTGGAGACAGGCATTTTGCAAATTTGAAGCCAACTGGCTCATAAGATGAAAGAGGCTGTTAATACCAAGTGTGAAGGTGGGATGGCATCACCAGAGCTGACCAAGTTCAGAGAAGCTGAAAATCTCAATTTGTATGTGACATTATTAAATGTTGACAACACACATACACTACATGGGCCAACCATGGGCGAAATTCAGACTTTGGGTCTCTTGGTTACCGGTAAGGTCGTGACAGGCTTTGACGACTGGGGGTGCTGCAGAAATTCTGAAGTAGGTGACAACAGTTGGCTCCTCCCCACAGAATTAAAGCAATAATAACTCATATCTACCCCATGATGCAGATTTCAAAGTACTTAATGTCATCACAGTGCTAAGGCCTAGGTATCTATCCCTTCTGGAGAGGAAGAAACAGATTCAGAGAGCTGTAGAAGTTGGGCTGAGTCACATAGCAGTTGAGTGTGGAACTGATTTTATCTGATTTTTTTTTTTTTTTTTGAGACAATTTTGCTCTTGTTGCCCAGGTTGGAGTGCAATGGCACAATCTCGACTCACTGCAACCTCTGCCTGCGGGTTCAAGCAATTCTCCTGACTCAGCCTTCCGAGTTGCTGGGATTATAGGTACCCTCCACCACGCCCAGCTAATTTTTTGGATTTTTAGTAGAGACAGGGTTTTGCCATGTTGGCCAGGCTGGTCTTGAACTCCTGACCTTAGATGATCCACCTGCCTCGGCCTCCCAAAGTGCTGGGATTACAGGCGTGAGCCACCGCACCCAGCCTTTTTTTTTTTTTTTTTTGTTTTTTTTTTTTTTTTTTTGAGGCGGAGTCTTGCTCTGTCGCCCAGGCTGGAGTGCAGTGGCACTAACTCGGCTCACTGCAAGCTCCGCCTCCTGGGTTCACGCCATTCTCCTGCCTCAGCCTCCCGAGTAGCAGGGACTACAGGCGCCTGCCACCACGCCTGGCTAATTTTTTTGTATTTTTAGTAGAGATGGGGTTTCACCGTGTTAGCCAGGATGGTCTCGATCTCCTGACCTCGTGATCCACCCATCTCGGCCTCCCAAAGTGCTGGGATTACAGGCTTGAGCCACCGCGCCCAGCCCCCAGCCTTTTTTTTTCTTTTTTTGAGATGGAGTTTCACTTTTGTTGCCCAGGCTGGAGTGTAATGATGCGATCTTGGCTCACCGCTACCTCTACCTCCCGGGTTCAAGGGATTCTCCTGCCTCAACTCCCGAGTACCTGGGATTACAGGCATGTACCACCACGCCTGGCTAATTTTGTATTTTTAGTAGAGATGGGGTTTCTCCGTGTTGGTCAGGCTGGTCTTGAACTCCTGACCTCAGGTGATCCACCCACATCAGTCTCCCAAAGTGCTGGGATTACAGGCCTGAGCCACCACACCCGGCTGATTTTATCTGATTCTAAAGTCCTGGTAGTCCCCTGACCTGAGATGATGATGATGAAAATGAACATTTACTATGTGTCAGATATTTTTCTAAGATGAAAGCTCTTACTCTGGGGTCCAGAATTCAGGGGATCCATAAACTTGGATGGGAAAAATTATATTTTTATTTTTGCTAACCTCTAACCAAAATTTATGATTTCCTTTTACATGGATTGAAGTAGTAGTATCTTTGGCTTAGTCACCAACAGAAATCACAGACATTTTGGTCGGGCGTGATGGCTCACGCCTGTAATCCCAGCACTTTGGGAGGCCGAGGTGGGTGGATCACGAGGTCAGGAGATCGAGACCATCCTGGCCAACACGGTGAAACCCCA